CCTATTAAAATCTTAAAATCCGGATTTCTTAAAATCTTATATTAGGATATCTTTCTCTACGCTCTTCTCTCATTTTCTTCATCGTCCCCTTCCTCTCTCTTGCACATACTCTCTCTCTCTTCAAAATCTCTCTTAAAATCTCTCACTATCTCTCTTAAATTTGAGTTGGAGACATGTACCAATTTTAAGAAGTTTGAACAAAAAAAAATAGGGGGGAAAGACGTGAGGTGTGCATCCATTGAGAGAGCCTCTTGGATATGAAAGAGTCTTAGATATATATGCATATCTCTCTCACTCTTGAATTTGAGTTGGGGATATGTGCCCATTCTCTCTTTTGCATGTACTTTTTCTCTAAATCTCCCTTAAAATCTCTATGCATCTCTCTCTTGAATTTGAGTTGGGGATAAGTACTCTATCTTGAAAGGATTTTATGAAAAAGCACGGTGTATATATATTTTTAAAAAAAAAATTACCCCTACACCGACATGATCACTTACAATATCTAATTATAATCAAACCACGTTTGAAATAAATAAAATAACAATAAAATCAGTTCTCAATTGATGCATCTTCAAATGCAATTATTTATTCAAGAAATAAAAGTAGACCTTAATGTTTTATGAGAAGAGAAGTAAATATTTAAGAAGGTAAAATTGCCAGAGATTACCTCAATTAGGCTTAATACACCCCACGCCGAGTCTCCTCCTTCCGATGGTGCTCGAGATCTATGATCAGTATGTTGATTTCCCTACTATGGCAAAAATCTACTCAATGGCTTAATCTTGATCAAGCCTCTTAACTTGATTTTAAAAAGATGAGAGATAAATATGAAAAGAGGGAGAGATCTACTAGCAAGGGATTCTACCCCTTTGCCACCCATAAAGAACAGAGGTGAGGCGTGCCATCAAAACATGGTGCAATATGGAGAGAGAGAGAGAAATAAAATTGGGGCGTGCCTCCTTCATTTGGTAATCCAAAGCTCTTTCCAGAGAGAGCTAAATTTTGGGATAGGGAGAGAGAATTATTAAAAAAGAGAAGAGAATACGTATTTTATTTTATGAGAGGAGACTTTTTTTTATAGATTTTCTATGCCATAGATTTTGCCTCAATTCGTAGGGTCAAATTTCAACCAACGATCTAAAGAGACTTGTGGGGTGAGGGATTTGAGTCATCCATCTCTTTGATCCACCATCAAGATTCAAGGAGATGAGCTAGAGCATTATCCTCCCTTTCCTAAATCTATTCCTTTCAAATAAAAAAAACTTATATTTTAATATATCCAATCCTTAATTATTAGATCAACCGATCTTGATTCAAAAATTTAGTAAATATCTCAAATATTCAACCTTATGACATCAGTTGGTTATACCTAAAAAGATAAGTTAACCAAGAGGATAAATATTATTCTCAAGAATGTTACGTGAATGGGTGGGGGCATGCCACCCTTTTGGTGGCCACGTATGGGCTCCACCTGATCCACATCTTTTTAAATTGGGCCTCATATTTTATGGATGTCCCAAATATTTTTAGAAAATATTTTATTTCATATTTAGAATTTTTAAATCTTCTATTTTATTTAAAACATTGAAAAATTAATTTTTCTTAATTTATAAATTCAAATGATAAAAATAAAATATTAGAAGATTCACAAAAGTTCAAATAAACATTCTAAAAATTATATAACATAAAATTAATTAAAATTAATTAATTTTGATGGGAATCGGATCCGTTAGATCTAAGAAATTATCAATACATGGGAGCACTCCACCTTTACGATTCTCCTAGCTTTTTCAAACTGACCTAATAGTTCTCATGACCCATAGTCCACTGTAGGGGTTCATGATTGGATTGCCAAAATTAGCCAATAGACTAGGGAACGCAATCACAGTTTATGGATTTTAAGTTCTCCCCTAGAGACAAAAATCATGGTCTTCCAGATGCAACCATGACTCTATGATACATAAGGGTAATATCTCGCACATGTGCATGCTTTACCCTCATTAGTGAATCTCAAAACGACTATCTATGTACGTGACATGTGATGACATAATAATATGGTTTTAGCCACATCTCTAAAGGCTATTCATCACACGCAAGGGCCACATAGTCTCATGGCTCTCATCTTGGTATACTCCGACCTCATCAAGGGATAACCCACTAAACCCTTCTCGGTATATCCTTATCCACAGGTATCTTGGGTTTTTCCAAGCTTCGGCTGGCTTAGCTTGTCGAGCCTAGTCCGAGTATCAGCAAATAACATTTGCTTAATATGGTCCACAAAATGACCACATTCCCACTAAGTTTATGTTTCACTATATAAAATACTCTTACAAGCTCTCATAAGGCCCTTAAAGGCAACATAAACCCAACATCTCTCACTTGGCTTTTGAAGGCCTTACATTTTCTCTTTCTCACTTTCTCTCATCCCCCTATATCTCTCCCAATCACAATCTCTCTCAATACATGAATCATGGCCTTTGCCGTCAACCATTTCACTAAAAGACTCATAGTGGCAACGTCTTTTTTTTTTTTTGTTCAGATCTCATCCCGAAAGTGGTAATAGTTCATCTTTCATATCGCATCGTGAATCATGAACATGTTATTACATAAAATCATCACGTATCCTTATCATATGGGCTCGTATCCTCATGGGCTCAAAAGAGTTCTTCAAACGAGCCGTTTCTTTCTGTAGCCATACAACCAGCGCCACACATATGGGTTCTATGGGTAAGCAACGTCATAGTCTGTTATTTCAACTAGCTTGTCAAACACTAGGAACTAGCACTGAAATATTTAATTATATACGCTTGGAGTTATTATGGAATCGTGACTCCCTTTTACATGCATATCACTGCCGTGTTGTCGCAAAAAGTCCTCATTGCCTCACAACACACGGGTTGAAAGTCAAGTCGATTAAAATATTTCTTAATCCATACAGCTTCCTTGGCCACCAAATAGCATGCCACGTATTCTGCCTCTAAGACGGACAATGTCACCGCATCCTGTTTTTTTTATTTCTAAGAAACTGCTCTCCCTCTAAACATGAACACGTATCCAGATGTAGACTTCACATCATCTGAATCCTTGAGATAGCTTACATCTGTATATATGAATATCCAAGCAACTAAAAAAAAACATGGGACTATAGCAGCTCCCACTCAATTATTGTACATACAATATATACATTATCAACATTTTCATGTCTATATCATGAGGTAGCATAGCAAGTCTCATGCAAT